TTACTTAATTTTTTTTAAAAGCAAAAATTGTTTACCTTGGGAGTTTCATATCCAGTGCCAACTTTCTCTTTGATTTTACAAATTCCTACAAAGAATTGAAGTCTCAGGTGCTCATTACATCTTGCTTATTTCAGCATTTTATCCTGGCTTTGCAACCCCAAGACTTATTTTTGAATTTAAGAAGAAAATATCACTCACAAATACTCTTTTGCATTACATGAGGTCATAAGAAAGTCCATAAATTTTTCTTGACCTGAGCCTGAAATGACAGTTTTGTGTACTTGAAATCAATACCATTTACTATGTCAGAATTCAAACTCAAACTCAACATATCATGTATAAATAAATGATTCTTGCATCCAGTTCATATAGTATATTACTTTCTTCTCTGAGTTTTTGTTTTCTTCCTTGATTGCACGTATGTTCGTTTGACAGATATATGGTTTGTATTTTATAAGTAATGCACTGGCCACATACCACACTTAGTATTTGTCACCATTTCTTTTGAAAATAAAGTTTTACAACTAGGTTGTAAAATTTTACTAGTGATAGACACTTTGGTTTTTATTACATCCTTAACAGAAAAAAAAGTAGTTTCTGAAAATAATTCTGGAATTGTTTTCTAGACAGTTTTATTAAAGTAAAAGAAAAAAAACCACCTAAGTCAACAATTCTATAGTATTTCTGTGCCCACACAGACTAAGAATTAAAAACAACCGCCACCAACCTCTGCTGTTTCTCCTTTTATCTTTTAAAATAGGAACTATCCTTTCAATTCATACACTTATTCATCTAACAAAAGATTGCTAAATATGTTCACATGTGCCATGTGCTATGTCCTTAGAAATTATAATATAAACAAAGCTTCATACCGTGTTACCCCACACTCACATCTATTAGTAATTAAGTAAATCACCTAGGAAATACACACATGAGTGATAGCTAGTGCTGTTACCAAAGGATGCACATTTAGGAAAGATATCCAAGGTTTTTCTCAGGTAGAGTTTGCCCCTATAAATAAGAATAAATAGTTTTAAGGAGGCTGGGGATTCAGAATATTATAGGTCAATTATTCCAAACTTTTTACTTTTTTGTGTATAGGACATGTCTATGCTAAAGTTAGGGAGATGATGAATTAAGGAGCCATGCATCTTTGTTTTTCCATTTTCACCTTTCTCACTGTCCTCATGTCAGTGGTCAAACATACGGCAAAGGGCTTCTGTTTTTTTTATTGCTCATGTGGGTGTGTTAGTTGAGCTAACTTCCATGGGGTAGAACTAAAGTTGAATGCATGTGTTAGTCATTCTTTATTCCTGAAGGAGATGAGACAGAATGAGACAGAAAACAGCCTTGGATTAGTCATTCAATAATGATAGTGAACTCATGTTGGCACCACACTTGGACATCAAACTTAGATATTTCACCAAAATTTTGTTGAAAATTGTTTATGTCTTACACGTGGGCAACTCCTGTTCAAATTCCTTGGGCAATATGAAGTTTAAATATGTAAATCAGCAAGTCATTTGTAGAGTTCTAAGTGTCTGCGGGTGGAGGTGCAGGGTTGTGTATGCAATCACCGGGCCGAACATTGATTTTTTTGTTAAAGAAAAACATTATGACATCTTAGAATAGTACAGTCTATTAGAACTTTGTGCAACAATGAAAAAGTTCTGTATCTGCACTTTCCAACACAGTAGCCACTAGTCACAGGTAGCTACTGATAACTTAAAATGTAGCTAGTGGGACTAAGAACTGATTTTTAAATTTTATCTAATTTTAATTAACTAATATTTAAATATAAATACTCCCTTGGGATTAATCACTATCGCATTGAACAGAGCAGTTGTAAAAGACAGAAGAACAATTGGGACATTATCCACTAGTTGATATGTAAATTTCATTTTCACTTGGAGAATTAGAAAAATCTATCTTTTAAGATTACTGCCATTTCACATAAATAATTAAGAGTATACTGTTCTTGGACTTTTCAGCTAACAAACTTGCCTTAATTTGCCTGGGAAAGCAAAGGTCTATACAAAATCCAGGCAAATACATAAGATTAAAAACTAAATATTTAAACAGAAAATACAAAAACATAAGTACATAAAATTAAAAATTAAAACTAGCATATTGTTTTTTCCCAGATGTATTATTGTCACAACTTGGATAATTGGGTCTGAAACTGAAGAATTTCAGAACATTTACTTGTTTTTTTAATACTATATTATATGTCAGTTTCCCCTTATGTAACCTCTAATAATACCTTATGATTTTTCTTTATAGCTCTTATTAAAAGTGTAATTATTCTCAATATAAATCTTTTAGTATTAGTATCATCATTAAATAGACTGTCATTGATTTTTCTCTCACTTTAGCTAGAATTTAATTTCTATTACATTAGTATAATATTTTTACTCACCACCGTATCCCCAGTGCCTAGGAGAATGCTCTGACCATATTAGCCACTCAATCTTGGCATGTCAAGAATTAACAGAATAGTATTAAGAGCCATGGATTTTATGAAGTACAATTTAGAAACTATTTTTTTCTACTCATAAATGAGACATTTTAAATTTGAACTTTCCTAAATGCTTTTTGGAGCATCATCACAAAAATAAAATTACCATTAATCACTATGTTTATTTAGATCAAATTCTAATAAGAGCTACTGTATTTATTTATATTCAATATTACGGTCATAATATTCTATTTTTATTAAAATATGCATTTTAAAAATTAATAGGTTTCAGTATACTAATTTTCACACTATAAATAGATGTAACATGAAAAATGTTTCCCCATGGGCCGGCCCGGTGGCGCACTGCTACAGTGCGCCGCTTGGGAAGCGTGGCGGCGCTCCCGCCAAGGGTTCGGATCCCACATACAGACCGGCCGCTCACTGGCT